ACCTCAAGGGATAGAGACCCTTCTCACATCTGCCTTTGAGAAGAGTTTTCTTCGTCTGCTGTTCCTTAATAGAAAAATAATCCAGATGAAATTCAATGAACACATTGTTATCACGAGTTAAGCGATTTACTGAAACTAGATTCTTACTGGCTTTAGGAACATGAAGTATATTTCTCAGATGAATTTTTGCAGTAGGGGAATGCAACACACTGTGACCAATGTGATCTATCTCCATACCTGAACCATTGGCGGCGTGCACCTGATCGCCACCATTGTACTTGTCCCGGACAGTCAGCCTCTCTAGATCGCCGGTGATGTGGTCGGTGGCCCCGGAGTCAACGTACCGGATGGTGTCGATGTCGTAGGAGCCAATGGACGCCGTAGATGCGCTCTTCTGAGGAGGTCCGGTGAAGCTGTGGTCGAACCGCTTGAAACAGCGGACAACCATGTGTCCCTCCTTGCCACAGAGCTGGCAGAAGACGCCTTGCTGGAATGTGGAGACCTGGCCACGGCCTCCACCGCCGCGACCAAAACCACCGCGATTTCCGCAGCCACCACCATTGCGGCCTCCTCCTCCACGCCCACGCGAAGGATTGCCACCACCACGGCCCTTGGATGCGACGTTCGTAGAAGACTGATGTCCGCCGCTGTTGCGCATGTCAATGCGCTGCTCATGGGTCACGAGCTGTGTGTACAACTCCTGGACGGTGATCGGCTCGGCACGAACAGCCACTGCAGACACAACAGGATCAAAATCCTCGCTGAGCCCGGTGAGTATGTAGGAAATCAATTCCTCATCTTCGAGCTTCTTCCTAGCCGACGCCATATCGTTAGCCAGGCCCTTCATCTTGGAATAGTACTCAGCGATGGAGGACGACCCCTTCGATGCGGTGGTGAGCGCCATCCGCGTAGTGATGATCCGCGCCCTCGACTGGGATGCGAACATAGCCTCAATGGCGGCCCGTGCCGCGAAGGGCGTAACTTCAGTGGAGATCTAGCCGAGGATCTCCTTTGACAGGGACGCCAGCAGATAACTTAGGACCTGCTGGTCCTTGGCGACCCAAGCCTCGTACTCAGGATTGAGCACCGGCTCTTCTTCATCGTCTTTGGCGTTTTTCTTCGCCAGGAACTCCGACGGCGGCTTGGCGTCGGACTTGATGAACTTCGCCGCTTGAGCCCCCCGATCGCGGACAGAACCTGGGATTTCCAGGATTGGAAATTGCTGCGCGTGAGTTTCTCCGTCACCGGGATGAGACCGAGACCGAGAAAGGCCGCAGTAGCTTGCGCGGAGGAAGAGGGGAGCGCCATGAACAAGATCCGCTAGGAAACCGGCTCTGGTACCATGAAAAATGGGGTGAACTGGATGAGCTCCTCGGTCTCTCCAGGTTGCGTGTTATATAGGGAAGGAATAGCCCCTTCCGTGGCACATACAGAGGAGTTTGTTACAACAAGAACTCTCCTATACTTGGTCTACAAGATTCACTAACAACCTGAGATTACATGCATGTCGTTCAGCAGTCTTGGGCGCATGGCCCGGCCTAACAACCTAGGCTAACAATAGGCTAACAACTCTATCATCTAACAAAGGAGCGACGGGAGCTGTTCTACGTGATGGGCTGGGGTCCTTTGTGTGTGTGTGTGGGGGGGCTGAGCGATATGGTACCGCCATGGGCTTGATGCACTGACCATGGAGGTGTTGGCTTGTCGAGATGGAGTCGCATTTGCTCACGAGAAAGGAGTGCAGAAGCTGATCATTGAAACTGATTGACAAGAGCTAATCAAGCTGTGGGAAGCCGGTGATGACCAAAGTGTTAGCCTACAGGATCACCGGCACCGGTCTTACTGAGCACCTGCTAGTGTTGTCGAGCACCTACTAGCTAAACCGACCACGAACAAGCGTTGTCCGTCCCCACACACTATGACTAGAGGTTGAAGAAGAGGGAGAACAGACACATGGTACAAGACACCTGCGTTGGTAAGCCCTGTATGGAAGATGGCGAATCTGAACTCTCTTTACTGAGTTGCCGTGGTAGTCTATTTATACAACTCTATCCATCTAGTCCTAGTACAGCTGCCATGCTGCAATAGTGGCTAGATAACACAGCAGGGCTGACTCTGCGCCAGCCTCTGCATGTGGCTACAGTGCTGCAGGTGAGCCGTTCGGCGCCTGCACCTGCAGCGGCTACAGCATCACAGCAGGGAGCCTTTTCAGCGCCGCCTTCCCTTTGCTGTGTGTTCACACAAGAAAACAGTAGATTATTCTAACACAAAGGTCCAGAGTTGCGCCAATCATCAGGGATGCTCGTGATATTAGTGTGCATTTTTCTGAGTTTAAATTGTTGTATTCCAGCAGAAATTGTAATCGAGTAGCTCATACTTTAGCAAAGCAAGTCTCAGAAGACACTAGGTTGGGTGAGTGGCAGTTTGCCCCTTCTTGTGTCGCTGATCTGGTGACTGCGGATTGTAACCCTGATGGTTCTTGAATGAATGGAAGTATCGAATCAAAAAAAAAAAAAAAGTTAAATAATAAACTAAATTGCAACTTAGAAAGTAATGTGCATCCTTGTCTCCAAACTTGTTCCTCACAAAATTTCCGAAGTCTTTGATAATATGATTCTCTATGTATAATTCAGTGTCGCCTTCACCAATAAATGTATGTGAAGCCAATTGAAATGATTCATTGAATCATTGTTTGCATTTGGCAAACGGCACTGCACTCAGAAAGGAAAATGTATGAACACAATGACATGTGGTATAAGAACGCATACTTCCTAAACTCTAAACATACCACACTGCTACCCCAGGTGCCATTTTCGCCTCCAGATGCAAGCGAAGCTTTGTCTATAGCAATCATTAGGCTCAATGACTTGGAATCATAGACTTTAACACGAGGCAGGATTCCTCTTCGTCTATTCAGAGTACCCGTCTGGATATATTCAAAATACAGAATCTGCAAAAAGAAAAGATCTAAAAGTAAGCACAAAAAAAGACATTCATTTTAGTGAGCTAACAATATATGATTCCAAAAATAGTAACATTAGCTGTCTATTGGATAATAATGCATAATGCCAAAAAAAATAAGGCAGTGAGCCTCACCTTGCCAGCTTAGAGCGTGTTTGGCACAGCTCTTAGGGGCTCCGGCTCATGCACTGTAGGTGTACTATAGCGAGGAGCCGGAGAAGCTCCAAATCGTGGCTCCACCGGCTTCTCCTCTTCTCAGTTCATTTTTACCTCGAAATCCGAAACGGCTCCATGCTATAGTGTCGCTGCAGTGATTTTGAGGAGGAGCCGGAACCCCTGGGAGCCATACCAAACACGGCCTAAGTCAAAGAGGATACACAGGAGCACCAGATGTTAATGCCACATCCTCTGCCCCAACACCAACAACCACATCAGCAATAATATTTTTTCCCTGTGCAAAAATCATAATCAAAGAGTTGGTATTAGCACTAAAGGATCTGAAAGATGCCAGATTTATGTATAAAAATAGATCGACCTCGTTGGCAAGAAAACACTGACCTTTGATGATGCATGCCCGCCGCTGTTCCATGTTTCAGCACACAGTAAAAACTACTTCTCTCAGCAACTTTAACATTTTTTATTCACATAATTCAATGCAAATGCCAATGGTACCAAGGGTAGTACTAAAAAATGCGAGATGGGACCAACAAGCAGGTAATCTCCATATCCGGTTCCAGTTTTTGTGTAAGTTGCCTTTACATTTTTAGCAACTTATCATCGACCAACTGATTGCTGCAGAATGCATCTATGCATTTAACACACTCACCTGTGAGATTTGCAAAAGTCATACAAGATATAAAGCAACCACACAAGGATGCTATAGAGGCTATGGGATATGGGGGGCTGCTTCATATGCCAGAGATGTGTCACATGAGAAACATGATACTGGACCTTGCAGACGCATACCAAGTCAGCAACCAACGTTTCAATATATGTGATCAAAATATTACTATTCATCTAGAGGATGTTAGTAACATAATGGGACTACTGATTGAAGGCTATGATGTAGACAAATATGTAAAGAAAACAATGCAGAGTGAAGAGAAAAATGTGAACACTGAATTGTATAAGAGGTATGCCGATGGAAGACACAAGCTCGAGCTAAGCAGGCTGGAACAAATGATTTCTACATCAAAATCTTCGGATGATGGCTTCAAAAGAGCCTTTGTCTTTTTCACAATCGGTGCCATTCTAGCACCAACTACACAAACCCATGTCCATTGGAGTTATATACAAGTTGTTTGATAAGTATCGATCATTCCAAAATTAAATTGGTGCCAATTCACTCTGACTTATTTATTAGGCTCATGCCATAATTACAAGACACGTAGACAAGGTAATTTGGCTCAGCTACAGGTCAGTTCTATATGGTACAACCAACACCTATAAACATTGTTTATTTTCGGTCTTACCTATTTTCTTCATTTTCTTCATAGTTTTGGTACTAGGAGCGCGCCATTGAGGCCAACAAATATGGGGGTCAAGTATGACAAGACAATCCAACCACCAATGATGGTGATCTTTAATGAAACCAATGCTATTCCTCGAACGAATGCTTTTCTGAAGGAGGGGATAAATGGAGGAACTATAAGTTTCCAAACATAGCCTCAATATGGTGTTGTTCTTACGCGTACAATCTAACTATCTTAATTGTTTGCATCTTATGGTGCCCCCTGTTGGTCACACCACCCAGCAAAAAAATGAACCAACGATTAGGGATCGAACACTTCACCTTCTTCACAAACCGCATCCTTTGCCTCCACATTTAACACGCCTAATCCTCCTCCGCCTCCTCATTCATCTCCCTTCCTCGTCGTCCTCCTCCTCCGTCACCGCTGTCCGAGATGACAAAGTCTGCAAAGTTAGCTGCCACGAAGTTGTCCTCCTCGGCCGTGAAGAAGAAGCCATCTTCCTCGGCCACGAAGAAGAAACCCACGGGCTCTTTCTCGGCCGCGAAGTATTAGCCCTATAAGACCGCGATGAAGCAGGCGCCCTCATCCACCGCTAGGGGCACCAAGAAGCCCGTGAAGAAGCGCGAGCTGCAAGAGATTACCGGCGGCGGGGATACCTCATGGGAGAGCGACTACAATTGTTTGAACGAAGATTTGCTGTGTCTGAATTGGTTGGATGGTGACGAGAAATGCATGCAGACAAGCTCCTCGGAGACGAGCTCTGACTCGTCAACCTACAACGATGTAATGTCTCTAAATTATCTGATTGAGTGAGTAGGGTTAATTACTGTGCTCAAACATGGAATGGCGGCGGACGTGTATGGCTTGGACCTTGACTTCCAAATGAGTCTACGTAACCAAATGAATGTGGCAACTTTGGGCTTAAGTTTTAACTCTGTTGCAAGATAGCAAGTTTCATACCAAAAGGGTTGTAGGTTAAAACTTAAGCTCAAAGGTGCCACATTCATTTGGTTCTACGGACTCATTTGGAAGTCAAGGTCCAAGCCATGCACGCCCGCCGTCATTCCATGTTTTAGCATAGTAATTAACCCTACTCACTCAATCAGAGAATTCAGAGACATTACATCATTGTAGGTTGATGCATCGGAGCTCCTCTCCGAGGATCTTGTCTGCATGCATTTCTCGGCACCATCCAACTAGTTCAGACACAGTCCGTTCAAGCAGTTGCGGCGCATCGCGACGCAGTCGCTCCCCGATGAGGTATCCCCGCCGCCGGTAATCTCCTGCGGCTCGCGCTTCTTCACGGGCTTCTTGGCGCTCCCAGCGGTGGACGAGGGCGCCAATACTTCACGGCCAAGAAAGAGGCTGCCGACTTCTTCTTCATGGCCGAGGAAGAGGGCTTCTTCTTCGCGGCCGAGGAGGACGGTTTCGTGGTGGCTAACTTTCCTGGCTTTGTCATCTCGGACGGCGGTGTTGGAGGCAGAGGACGAGGAGGGGAGATGAATGAGGAGACAACGGAGTTGGATTAGGCGAGGTAAAAGTGGAGGCGGAGAATGCGTTTTGTGAAGAAGGTGAAGTGTTCGATCCCTAATCATTGGTTCATTTTTTTGCTGGGTGGTGTAACCAACAGGGGCACCATAAGCTGCAAACAATTAAGATAGTTAGATTGTACGCGTAAGAACAACACCATATTGTTGTTATGTTTGGAAACTTAAAGTTCCTCCATTTATCACCTCCTTTAGAAAACCATTCGGTGAGCAATAGCATTGGTTTCATTCCAGAACACAATCAGTGGTGGTTGGATTGACTTGTCGTACTTGACCCCATATTTGCTGGCCGCAATGATGTGCTCCCAGTACCAAAACTATGAACAAAATGAAGAAAATACGTAAGACAAAAAATAAACATTGTTTATAGGTGTTGGTTGTACCATATAGAACTGACCTGTAGCAAAGCCAAATTGCCTAGTAGGGTGGCTTGTGTACATGTTTTGTAATTATGGCACGAGTCTAATATATGGGTCAGAGTGAATTGGCCCCAATTCAATTTTGGAATCACTGATACTTCTCGAATAACTTGTATATAACTCCAATGGACATGGGTCTGTGTAGTTGGTGCTAGAATGACACCAATTGTGAACAAGACAAAGGCGCATTGGAAGTCATCATCTGAAGTTTTTGATGTAGAAATCATTTGTTCCAACCTGCTTAGCTTGAGCTTGTGTCTTGCATCGGCATACCTCTTATACACTCTAGCGTTAACAATTTTCTCTTCACTCCGCATTGTTTCCTTTACATATTTGTCTACATGATAACCTTCAATTAGTAGTCCCATTAGAATAGTAATATTTTGATCACATATTGAAACTTTGGTTGCTGACTTGGTAAGCGTCAGCTCTGGCATATGAAGCAGCCCTCCAAAATCCCATAGCCTCAATAGCATCCTTGTGCGGTTGCTTTAAATGTTGTACGACTTTTGTAAATCTCATAGGTGAGTGTGTTAAATGCATAGATGCATTCTGCAGCAACCAGTTGGTCGATAATAAGTTGCTAAAAATGTAGAGGCAACTTACACAAAAATTGAAACCGGATATGGAGATTACCTGCTTGTTGGTCATATCTCGCGTTTTTTAGTACTACCACTGGTACCATTGGCATATGCATCAAATTATGTGAATAATAAGAAATGTTAAAGTTGCTGAGAGAAGTAGTTTTTACTATGCTGAAACATGGAACGGCGGCGGGCGTGCATGACGGCCTACCTCTCCCGATTTCCCCTTCCAAGCATTTGGAGAAGAAGAGAGAGAGAGGCCGGAGAGAAAGGACGCGCAGGCAAGGAGAAATCGAGTGTTTGGAAAACATTTTCTTGCGTTAAATATGTAGTAGAACATCGCCAAGCGCCGCCACCGCCAGCCGCCCCGCCGCGGCGCGGTAGGGTGTGGACGGAGCTCCGGCCACCACTACCACGGCCACCAGAGCTCTGCCATCCCCCTCCACCCCACCATGAGGACAGATCAAGAGAACCTCAGAAAATCCCATCCTAACCACATCAAACAATACCAAGAGAATCCACGACGGTTACCTCGGAAAACGGATCAATCGAAGGTGATCCATCAGCAGCTCGTTCCTTGGATGGGTCCATCTCGAACTATGTTGTAGGAACTCAAAATCGCTAACCATCTGAGCTCCGTGAACGGGAGGTGCCGGAGGAGAAAGTGTCGCAGGAAGATAGCAGGTAGAAGATGGGGAAAGTGTAAGGCGTAAGTAAATGAGGACGACGCTGAACTCTTTCTATACCTAAAATGCCCCAACCAGCTGATCGGGTAGGAACAGAAACTATTAAACTCTCGAGCTGTACCAACTAACATTGTGGGTCTCGCAGCCGAGATGGACGGTCAGGATAGCCCATGTGGCAACATACACAAGCGGCGACGCTTTTCCCAGGCTACTTTGTGTCTCCCACTTCTAAAAGACATGGATGCAGCCAAACTATAAAATTCCAAACTATAAAATTCAGAAAATAATTTGAGTAGGCACTGCATATTTCGAAAACAGGTGAAAATAGGTGCCGTAGTTTGATGCAGCACAACATAATTTATGGGGGAATATTGATTGACAGGAAATGCTAAGTGATCAACTGTAGAAAAAAGCACCATAAAATAGATTAGTGCATCAGCCTAAACGGTTCACAAAGAAGTAGTCATCTAGAGGGGAAAAGACTGTCATTTGATAAGGATGCACCTGGCTGGAAAACCCTCAGCTCCAAACCAACCTTATAGGTAAGCAATTCAACATCTAGCCGCCTTCTTCAAGACCATCCAGTTTCAGAGCTTTGACAACAATAATTTCCTGAAAAAGGAAAACAGCCTAATCAATCGGAGCATAAAACCATATTTTACCATCTTGCAAAGTAGTATACTTCTAGTCCACAAGATAAAAGTTAACTACCAAAAGAGCAGACTAAAGTAAGCAGAATCATTATTGCTAAGCTTGTCAGCAACATTATCAGTATAATATTTCTAGTCTAAAAGCTCAAAGTGTCTCTCACACAATCAAAGGCATGTTTGCTGTTCTTGAAAAACAAAGACAAATTTATTTAAAACAAATTCATCAACCAATCAGCATTGCAATGATTAAATGCTGATTTGCTTTGTCAATGTAAAACCTCCACAATCTGGGTACCTTTTCATTGATATCTAGTATTCAAGACAGTGTGAAGCCTTGAAACTCAAATAGCAGAAATCACATCTAAATAACACCTTTCGTCAACTGGTTAGTCAGAAGAAATTAGCAATACAGAGAGATCAAAATAGTTGAAATTCACGCCCTCCCAATCCAACGAAAATTTTAAGGTGTTAATTAAGAAATATGAGCAACTTTGCCACATTGTGTCAACCTTCCCTTCAAAAGTTACATCTAGGTTCAACCAACCCTAGACTTGATACAACCTGTGGCTGTGACTTCTGGTCTCATCTCAGTACCTTTTAACTACTACAAGATTCTATGATGTTTCCAAAGAAATGTAGCAGGAGCTATCTTATTCCATAGAGAGTTTAATATAGGTAGTGACACAGAAGGGAAACCACTTGTCGGTTGAAGACTAATTATTGCCAACTTGTTGCAAATATGACAAATGGCGTGCCACACTACCGGATACACAAGAGCCATTTGATTGATGTGCTTGTAAATGAGAAACAGTAATTGATTTGCATATACCAAGTGATGTTTGAACAACTTTTGCAAGGGCTTCTCTTCTGACTCTTTTAATCAAACATAAAGTGTCAGTTAAAACTTGTTGCTGCCACAAATCGTAATGATTTCTGAAATCTGCAGGTGTGATCCGCAGGCTGACACATGTTGATGAAACCAGCTCTTTAGCTGGTAGACATGTCATTCTTTCAATACCCATACCATGTTGAATTTTTTGAGTGGGCAGTTCACCTAATAGCTTAAAATTTTAGGGAAATTTTGATGAAGTAACCGAGTAACCATGGTTTATACCCAATACAAAAATGAGAAAAACAAACAACTGTTTCTGAAGGGTTCTTTTAGAGCTAACATTTTCATTTCATAGTAATTCAACAAAGCAATGCTTGTTACTGAACTTTTCTGCAGTTTACAGTTATTAACTACTCCATCCATTCCAAATTATAAGTCGCTTTGACTTTTTTGGTACATCTATTTTTGCTATGCATCTAGATAATACATAGCAAAATAGATGAACAAAAAAGTCAAAACGACTTATAATTTGGGGCAGAGGAAGTACAGTAGAACATTGAGAGAAAATAAGAGAATTTCGTACTACACACAAGTTTTTTTATATAGAGTTAATAGAGAAAGTCAATAAGGTCGAAGATTACAAAAGAATGACCACATGTGCAGGTAACTGGTAGACAATCCACCTGTACAGAGACAGCCAATATAACATTTGTGCACATCAATCAAACTAACACATAAACCGAACAAAAACACTTGCACCAAATCAATTACGAAGGATGGCCTGCGCTGTGATTACTTACAGATCAAAATCCTGACATTGGTGCTATTAACCAGCACCAGCAGTTTTGCACAATCCTCTGAAAATACAACAAAATATTAGAATGATAAATACTTTGATCAGATCAACCTCCTAGGGATTAATTATACCTCCCAAGACGATTGGCATCGTACCTGACTCTGAAAGGGGACGAGCGGCCGCCATGGCCCATGGCCATGGTCGACTACGTGGGCGAGGTGAATCGCGCCGGCTTTGCGCTTCTAGGTTCTGGCTGAAACGACCCGTGGGGGCTGGGAAGGGTGGCGGTGGGGCGGAGAGAGAGACGATCTAGGCGAGTTTATTTATGTGTGTTTTTTAACGGAGCGATTAATAGTACGACCCAAATTTGGGGGTCGTTTTGCAAATATTAGGATACGGTTAGCAAATGACCTAAAATAGTGTTCTACTATAAAATATCCTGATCACAATAAATAATCATGATCCCTTCCATTCAGAAATTTGGCAATTACAGTTTCCAGAAAGAAAGAGAAAAGAGCGAATCAGGCAGCGCATACTAATATTTTTTCCTGTATTGTTCAAGGTATAGTATGCTTTAAGTTCTGTATCACCCACACAAATTGATGGTGTAACGTTTTTACAGGAAGCACAACCACTAGAAAAAGTTAGCATTTCCGTTAAGCAAAAGTTTAGCCCTGTCACATTAAATCTTTGATACCAATTAGGAGTATTAATTATAGGCTAATTACAAAACTAATTATACAGATCGAGACTAATTTGTGAGACGAATCTATTAAGTTTAATTAGTCCATGATTAGATAATGTGGTGCTACAGTAAACATTTGTTAATTATGAATTAATTAGGCTTAATAGATTTATCTCGCTAATTAGTCTACTCCTGTGCAATTAGTTTTATAATTAACTCATATTTAGTCCTTCTAATTAGCATCCAAACGTCCGATGTGACACGACTAAAATTTAGCAACTGAATTCAGACACAACCTAGTGTAAGGAAAAAGTACAAAGAAGCTTGTCAAAGAGTCAAAAGTTCGCATCACATCATTATTTAATTTGTTCAGGAAGCTTGTCATGAACATTATCAAATCAGATTCGTCTCGCTAATTAGTCTACTCTTATGCAATTAGTTTTATAATTACCTCATGTTTAGTCCTCCTAGTTGGCATCCGAACGCCCGATGTGACACGACTAAACTTTAGCCTCTAAATCTAGACACAGCCTAGTGAAAGGGAAAAGTACAAAGAAGCTTGTCAAAGAGTCAAAGTTCACATCACATCATTGTTTAATTTGTTCAGGAAGCTTGTCATGAACATTATTAGTTCTTTCCCGTCTAAAGGCCCAAAGCGTCTCCTGCATTCCTTATTCTCTCATGAAAACAAATTAAATACAAGCATGTACTCATATTTAACTTGAATTCACAAACACATGAACGTCACAGGAATTGACTACTAATTTGCCTTTGGGCCTTGCTATGGTACATCTAAATAATTGTGAACCGTCGATTTGAGTAACAATTATCACATATTGCCTCCGAAGAGGTAATATGGTATATAAGGAAAATATTTTCGTATTATATATCTAATATGCATGCATGATCTAACTTTCCTAACATGATCTCAAGTTTTTAATAACATGGACATGGATACACACATGTATAGCGGTGGGACACACAGTTCACACATGTGCAGCCGTATTTTATTTTATTGTATATATAACACAACACAATGATTATAATATGTGACCCAACATGATTTTGTAAAATTTATTTGATTTGTTGGAACGTGATGAATGGACGGGAAATTTAAATTCGTTTCATTTTCAACATGAAAAAATAAAGCTTATTCAATTCATAGAGTGATTGTATTGTAACATTTTTTGTTGTTGTAACGTGACCATGCCCAATTAAGAAACATAAAATAGCATGTCTTGGAAAGTTGATTTTTGACTCCGAAACTATCTCTTGCCCGATGGCCTTCCACGAAGTTGTAGCCGTTGGTTGCAACCAAAAGGAAACAAATTGCATGTACACATGCAGATAAAAGGAAGCAATATGTTATTTATTTTTTCTTTTTTACTAATTATTTTATTTCTCCTCGTATTCAAGGGCTTGGATTTATTTGAACTCTTACCTCTTACTAGGTAAGAGTTGTACAGCAAAGCCCTTTGCCTTTTCCAGGTAAGATCTCTTGAATCTGAGAGTTGACGTCAGATTGATCCGAGATCATATACCGGCTAGGGCTATGTCGCCCGGGCTGCCATGAACCGAAGAATGAAGAACGCAGCGAGAATATCACACTTATGTAATGAGTCACGAGAGGTTTACGAGCAAACAGCCAAAGGATAGCTATCGAGCTTACGTGATGAAGAATAACTAGTTTTCAAGCAAACTATAGCCAAGGAAACGTCGAAGCTCTCGTCCGGAAGGGATCCAGTGGGGGCAAGGACGTCGCCAGGTTGCCCTAGATTGGTCGGCAAGTCTAGGGCGCCATCCTTGATCATCGGATCAAGCGATGAACAATAGCGTGAGGTTGGAAAAGGACATAAAGGAGTTGTATATGTAAAAAGACGATGGGATTATTGGACGTACTCAATCGGCCATGATTATATATATATATATATATATATATATATATATATATATATATATATATATAGAGAGAGAGAGAGAGAGGGATGGTCAAATCCCAGTAGAAAACCCTCCAAAGACTTATTTTCTAAGTTTCCCACAAGTTTGGAAGAGTTATGGATCGGAATCCATAAGTCCAAATTTGAACAAAGTCTTTTTCAGTCCATCAGAAGTACTTGTCGCAACTTCCAGCGCTTATTGGGACTTTCGACATAGAGATGACCGCGGGTACTTCTCGCAGATTTCTCGGAAGTTCCGGTGACTGTCGGAACTTCCGATGCTAGAGTATTTTCTGAAAGCATAACTCTTTGAGCTGGATTCCGAATTGAACGATTCACATATATATTTTTTTATTATCTCGACGAGAGGAACGGAATGGTGAGGTCCATTTTACATTTTGACAACTTGATAAAATGGACTATTTTGGTTGTCAACACTGAGTAACCTTTTCCATTTACGTCAAAGATAATCTACAACAGTCGGTTTAAAATCTTGTACCTCAAACAGTACTTTGTTGCCAATTTTATCAACCGGTTAATTAGAAAGCCAAAAATAAGCAACATGGTTACATGGAACAACAATGCCGGATCATAAGAGTAGAGTTGTATGCATGTTTACTGATTCTACTATACTAACATCTTCTGGAGTAACCCATTAACTTCCACTCCCAGCGTGCACGGAGCGCTATGCCTGCGCGGCGCAAATCAACAACTCCCAGCCCCCCGAGCTCTCGAGGTTTGCAGACCACCTTCCAGGCCACCAACTGTCTGCTCGCCGCACCAGATAAATGCTCTTCTGGTGCGGCAAATATCCCACGGCGAGAGACACAATGCGATGGATATATGCACCGGCAGTTTTCCTTTCCATTGCGGTATCCTGGATGCAACGGCGTCGACCAGCCTCTGCTCGTCCGACCTTTTGAGCCTGTAAATGGATAACGGTATCCCCAAGTAGCGACAGGGGAAGTTCTCAATCTTGCACGAGAGCGTATCCCGCACAAGGGCCATTTCCTGTTCTGAGCATCTTTTGTCCAAGTTGGAGAACAATCCTGACGCTTGCCAAACATCTCCACCGCTGCTTTGAGGACAAGCAGGTCTTCGGCTTTGGAAACAACAAACATGACGACATCATCAGCATACAAGCTGATCCTGGAAGGCAGGGTCTCGATACCGAGAGGCGTCAGGAAGCCATGTTGGTCCAGCCAGCTAATGAGGTGGTTGAGCACCTCCATGATCAGGACAAATAACATCGGCGACAAGGGGTCTCCCTGGCGAAGCCCCCGAGCATGGCAGATTCTTCTCCCAGGCCTGCCACTTAAGAGAATTTTGGTGCTGGCTGTAGATAGGATGCTGGATATCCAGTTCCTCCAGCGCCGGCCGAACCCCAAATGTGCTAGCACCTCGAGCAAGAAGTTCCAAGTGACGGAATCAAACGCCTTAGCAATATCAATCTTGAGGAGGACACAGGGGTCACGTTGGCGTGGATCGACGCATAGGTTTCTATAGTAGATGGTGCAGCTTCGTCCAATGGGAAAAACTCCTTGATCAGTGATCACCCTATAATGACTGGGCTTGAGGTCAGTGAGGTAGTAGATCTCATCGCCAAGCCTTGTTCGTGGACGTCGTCACTGGTGTGTTGTCTCCAGCATCCCAAGACGTTGCATTTGCATCAGGGAGCACTTCGTCGTGCTTGGATGCTGGAATGCGCGACAGGCCGGGACAGGGCCTGCTCAGCCCAGCAACGACACAGAGCTGAATTGGACCGCTGCCTGTCCATGTGCTCAGCTGGAGCAGGAGTGATTGTGTATTTGTCTTGGTGTCTTGACTTCAACTTCAGCTGGAGCAGCAGTATTAACTTCTTCTTCTTCTTCTTTTTTGAGAATAGCAGCAGTATTAACTGAACGTGCCGGCCGTGAGCTCCTGCTGTATTGGGCCCGTGGGCCGTACTTCACGTATATGTTTCAGGCCACCGAGCCACCAATTTTGCTTCCTTCTCCGATCGTCCAAACCCAGCACACAGGACACAGCACTGTGGCTCTGTCGCAATGGCTTGCCGGGGCAAGTGAAGTCTCAATGGACACTATTGGCGCAATGGTGCTCCCCAACATGAAGCTGTGCTGGCCGGCGCATCTCGCCTACATGGCTACTCTCTCCGTTCCAAATTAAAGTCATTTTGACTTTTTTAATTCATCCATTTTATTATGTATGTAGACATATATTATCTCTAAATATATAGCAAAATGGATATATAAAAAATCAAAATGATTTATAATTTAGAACCGAGGGAATACATGGTAGGCCAGCCCCCGCGCTTGCCTACATCAATACACCACACGTCTATACACACATGAGTGGTGTGTGTGTGTGTTAAAAAGCAGTTGAATGGTAGTTTTGTCCGACCAATCCGTAAATGGACAATGGCACAAGGGCGCAACTCTATATTTTCTCCATGATAAAATAAATACATATATCGTATTTCAACAAACTAACCGACCTCAAGTTTAATAAAATATATAAAAAACATTATATTTTTTATAACATTATACTAAATAAGTATTATTAAA